CACCTCAAAAAATTTTTAACCTCTTGATTTTGCTCAATTTTGTACAAGTTTTGGTGCAAAGATACATCTTGCTTGTGAAAATTTCAGCTCCTAGCTTGATGGTTATTGAAATAACGACCGGTCAAACTTTTGAAATTGTTGCAATCCGGTCATTCACTTGTGCCACACCTAAAATTGATATCTTCCTCACACTCACCTATAAAGATGGAATTGGTTGTCAAATGAAAGCACTTGTCAAGTTGAAACTTAATTTCCAGTGAAATTGATGATAGCCTCAAAGGCTCAAGGGCTGAGGTAAAATGTTATTTTTCAATGGCTGACCATGCCCAAATGGCAACGCCAATTTTCATGAAAAATTTTTTTTCAATAAGATAAGTTCATGATAGAGCACCTCATTAAATTTAAAGATGGGGTGGGCATGGGTTTTATCACAATCAGTCTCAGAATACTGACAAGTCTTTATTAGATCTGTATCCTGCATAAGCATGACCTACTATGACATTGTTGTACTTTATGACATTGTTCTGTTATAGATGAATATTACATCAGTGCATGTGTGGAGTATAAAAATAAAGTTAAGCCTTATGCATCAACATGACAAGACATCGCTGAAAGAAAAAAGCCTTTTTTCATAGCCAAAAACATCATTGAATGGAAACCTCCTGCTAATTCAGGAAATTACAACTTTACATTAATGTCATGTTAGTGAAAGTTAGTCTAGACATGTTATTTAACTTTATGATTTAAGAATTCCCATCAATTTTAAATAATTTCTGAAATTGGCTGTTCGTATCCTGTAATTGTCAAACCAGGAAGTCCTCTTCAATAGCACCTGTCTATTACAAGGAAACAGTAAATAAAAAACCAATGTAAGAAATTTGCTTTAGAAACTTCAAACAGACTTCAGACTTTGGTGAAAGCATTTAGTACATTACTGAAAAGGCAGTTTTCTAGTTTACGAGATTTAAGATGGCAGAACAACTTTCAAAACTGACAAGTATACAAAACAACCGAAAATATTGCTGTGACCCATTCCAAGTGCATAAAACCAAAAGAACAAAAGATTTGAGACTCGTAACTGCAGAGCAAGCGAAGTGCAATCCATCTTTGGTTCAAGTTGGAATGAAAATATGCACTAACTGTAGAAAACAGCTACAAAGAGTGGTTGGAGTAGAGCCGCCACTCGAGAATCTGCTCTCTGAAGAGGAGGATGACTTTGTTCCGCCTGAAATTGAATTTGAAAGCCTAAATGAAACTTTAGGGAAAATTGGAGAAAGCCCTCTGAGTCAACGAAAAATAATGTCAAGATCCCGCTACCTTCCTCAAAAAAAGAAGAGAGTGCATGACACCCTTGAAAGAAAATTTGATGCTGCATGTGGCTCCTCTCCATCGTTGATTATGGATGTTTCTTCGGATGAGGAAGATGGAATGCCAGCAGAAATTGTGCAAAAACTAATTGCAAAATTTCGCAGCACTGAAAGTAGAAGTGAAAAGATAACAGTTCTGACTATTTTTGTGCAAACATGGAGTCAAAGGAAAATAATGGCCACCTTTGGCTGCTCTCAAAGAATGGCTACACAAGCAATGCATTTATCATTGGAAAAAGGCATCCTTGCTACCCCAAATCCAAAAACTGGAAAAAAGTTGCCAGAGAATGTTTCAGAGGCTGTAGGAAACTTCTATCGGCAAGATGATATCAGCAGAGTTATGCCTGGAAAAAAGGACTGTCTAAGTATTCTTCGAGACGGCAAGAAGACTCTGTTTCAAAAAAGACTAGTTTTAGGAAATCTTCGGGAAATTTATCAAACATTCAAATCCCAACATCCATCAATGAAGATAAGCTTCTCAAAGTTTGCAATGGTTCGACCTAAAGAATGTGTTTTAGCTGGAACAAGTGGCACTCATTCTGTCTGCGTTTGTACAATCCATAACAATGTAAAATTGATGATGAACGGATCCATGATGGCGTCTGTGACAGCCAATGAAGTAGTTCCTGTTAGTCATTATGGACACGCATTGGCTAAGATGATGTGTAATCCCGCAGTACCAAACTGTCATCTTGGTGAGTGCCCATACTGCCCTGGTAAACAACCCCTGAGAGAGATGCTTTTAAAATGCTACGAAGATAACGATGTCGATGAAGTAGAGTTTAAGCAATGGACATCTACTGATCGCTCAAAACTAGAGACTATGGTAGAGCCAATAGAAGATTTTGTGGAAGCATTTATTGAGAAACTTGACACTCTTAAGCGACATGATTTCATTGCAAAACAGCAATCTCAGTATCTTTGCAAACGAAAGGAAGGTCTAGTAGAAGGAGAATTTCTTGTGATAGGTGACTTTTCAGAAAACTTTTCGTTTGTTGTCCAAGATGAAGCACAATCATTCCACTGGAATAACAGCATGGCAACACTGCATCCGTTTGTTTATTATTTCAAAGAGGATGGACAAATCAACCACAGCAACTTTGTACTAATATCAGATTGCCATACTCACAACACTGTTGCAGTCCACCTTTTTCAGAAAGAATTGATGAGACATCTTTCAGAAAAGTTTCAGGTGCTGAAAGCAATTATCTATTTTTCTGATGGCTGTGCAGGCCAATACAAAAGCCTCAAGAATTTTTGTAACCTGTGCATGCATCAATATGATTTTGGTGTGCCGGCTGAATGGCATTTTTTTGCAACAAGCCATGGCAAGGGGCCTTCAGATGGCATTGGAGGCACTATCAAAAGAGAAGCAACCAAAGCAAGTCTGCAGCGACCTTACCGTGATCAAATTTTGTCAGCTCTGAAGCTGTTTGAGTTTGTTGATTCCCATCTTAAAGGAATCAATGCAAAATTTCTCACTGCTGCCGACTGGTATTCAGAAGAAGAAATTCTTCATGAAAGATTTCAGACTGCTAAAACGATTGCTGGAACACAAAAATTACATTGTTTCAAACCAATTTCAAAATATTCTCTTCTTGTCTCAGAATACAGTGAAAGTGAAGTGACAAGGGAAGTTCAAGTAGTCAAAGCAGGCTGTGGTCATATTGAGCTCAGTAAGATTACAGGCTATGTTGCTGTAGTTTATGACAGCAAGTGGTGGGTGGCATATGTTTCTAGCATTCAACCAGAAACCAATGAAGTGACAATAAGCTTCCTGCATCCCCATGGCCCAAACCCATCATTTGTGTATCCAGAACCTTTTGAAATGCTTGTTGTTCATGTCTCAGACGTACTTGTGCAACTTAATCCGGTCACTTTTACAGGTCGCACCTACACATTATCAAAGGGGAATCACAAGCAGCAAGCATGTCTTTACAAAACAGATTACAGATGGAATAATTTTCTGAAACAAAAATTCTCTCTAACTGCAATGAACATGACACTTGTTTTTAAAATCAAACTACCGCTTGTATGCATTGCATGAAGACTTACATTGACTTTTAACCTTTCAAGATAATACTCATCAGTATTCTGAGACTGATTGTGATAAAACCCATGCCAACCCCAATTTTATATTTTATGAAGTGCTTTATCATGAATTTATCTTAATGAAATAAAATTTTCATGAAAATTGGCGTTGCCATTTGGGCGTGGTCAGCCATTGAAAAATAACATTGTACCTCAGCCCTTGAGCTTTTGAGGCTAGCATCAATTTCACTGGAAATTTACTTTCAGCTTGTCAAGTGCTTTCATTTGACACCAATTCCATCTTTATAGGTTGAGTGTGAAGGAAGATATCAATTTTAGGTGTGGCACAAGTAATGACCGGTTGCGACAAATTTCAAAAGTTTGACCGGTCATAATTCCAAAACCGCTTGACCAATCAAAAAAAAATTTGAAATATAGAAAAAGATCGGTTTGCTTAACATAATACTAGATTTTAAACAAAATCCATGACAAAAATTTCAAGTTTGGACTTTTTTTGGTTACACTTGACATAGAATGTCCCGGGGCCAAAAGCCTCGTTTTCATGAGAAAATCTAAAAAGCTTAATACATCTTATGTTGGGACTAATTTTTGAATTGTCATCAGAAGGAACTATGCAGTGCTATTAATTACTAACTGATAAATAACACTATGGAAAAAACAACTGGATCATCTAAACGTAGTTCAATCGTTTCAGAGTTCCTCAAGATCGTCTTCTGAGTCACTGCACACAACATTTTAAGCGTAAAACTCTTTTTCACTCTGGAAATAGAATCCTCATTCACCCTAATCATGAACTAGTAAGCCCAACTGAAGCATCAAACCACCTTGAAAATCATAGAGATATAATTTGCATGCAGCATATAAAGCCTTGTGTTTTCTTTACATGGCGGCAGAAGACTGAAGTTATGATCTCTTACTGTTATTCAAACTTCTGCACAAGCAATATGTGTCAGAGAAAACTCAAGATGTTCTTGTTTTCTATAAAATACAGGACCAAGTATAACTAGGAACAAAGCTATAGCAAGAAAAAGCATGCAGGCCAAGTAATGCTTTCTTTTTCTAGAACTCATGAGACCATGTCTATTATTTTCCTTTGTTTTCAAGTACCCTGAGAATCTATGAGAATCTTTGTTCCACCCAATTCATGCTACAAGGATATTGTTAGAATGGTCACTTGCCAGAATGGTACACTGAAATTGGGGGGCCCTGCTAAAGAGTTGACTACGATCCTTAATAGTTGCAAGCTGAAAGGACTAAACAATACTTCTTTGCTTTCTTCATTGATATGGAAGCTGTTGAAGTCACATAGCACCTTAATGTCAGGACTCGTTAAGGTGTATAGCTAACTTCACCCCTCTCAACTCTTTCACAATCCTTTATATGCTGTTGTCCTTGTATTTGTGAAAGACAATCACAATTTTTGTCACTGGTCTGGAATGGTAGCAGTACTGGTATTTCGGTCTCCCTTTGTTTGTTGGTAGATTAAGGGCAAACCAAATATTTGGCTGCAGCAAGGTCCAAGCTGTATCTGTTCAGTTTCTCCGCAGGTGATAGTTCATCAGAGCTAACGATGGTCACTTGTGGCAGTTTCATGCAATTTATCTCTAACAGTCATTCTAATGGCACCATCTGCTGTGCTGAGAGGCATTGACATAGTTGCCTGCATCGTGCTTGTTCGAGTGCACAACGATAAGACCAAAAATGTCTCTCTGAAAGCTCTTTTTTATTCCTTTAATGTTCAGCTCATCTTCACTGACGAATCCTTGAAGGTTGCAACAACTTTGTTTCCAGTTCATTTAAAAATAGAAAGTAAGTATTTTCGAGGGTACTGTTCATTGGTAAATCCCGCCGACACTGTCAGGTGTACCCAAGCTCATTCGGAACGTTTCTCTGAGAGGGGTGGTCCTTTCCTTAAACTTAGGACAGGTAAACTTGAAAAAGGGGTACTTTTTGAATCTGCAAAAATCACTGAAAAAAGGTGCTTTCTACAACCAACGTAGACCACGATTGCTCTTTACTGACAATATCACAGGATCTCAAAGATTTTTTAGAAAGAGCACCACCTCAATTTGATTCAATACAACATTTGCAAGACAAGATTTTTGTTTGTATAAAGGTCATTTGCAACTTATAATAGAAATGTTGGCAGTTTTGCTTGACAATGTCTTCCTTTTTCACTTATCACCATTCTAGACAAACCTATAAACCAATAAAAATAAGAATCATATAAACTTCAGCATTCTTCAATAAGTACAGTTTTAGCCAAAGTAGTGCAACAGCATCATAGCAGAGCAGGAACTCCTGTTCACTTTCTTCTTTTGTATTTTGGTATTATATCTCAGTAAAAAGGGTATAAAAAGTTCACAAAGAAGTCAGAAGAAAGGGGTCTTTTTGTATTTCTCGTATGAGCATGGGTACACAACTGATTGAGAGTGAACAAGCTGGGCAATGATTAAGCAAGGTTTGTTGTGTATTTTATAGAAATCAAAGAAAATCTTGAGTAAATCTTCTTCGACACAAGTTGTTTGTGCAAAAATTCCAAAGTCAAAAAGGGATCATAAATCTCAGTTTTCTGTCGCCATGAAAAAAAAACAGAAGGCTACTTACTCTGTGTGCAGACTATATCTCCATGATTTTCAAGGTGGTTTGATGCTGGGCTCCTAGTAGATAGATCATGATTGGGGTGAATGACGATTCAATTGTCAAAGTGAAAAAGAGCTTTACGCGTAGAGTGTTGTGTGCAGTTACTCAGAAGACGATCTTGATGAACTTTGAAATGTTTAGATGATCCTGTTGTGTTTTTCATAGTGCTATTTATCAGTTAGTAATTAAAAACGCTGCTTAGTTCCTTCGGATGACAATTCAAAAATTATTCCCAACAAAAGATGTATTAAGCTTTTAAGATCACACAATTTTCTCATGAAAACAAGGCTTTTGGCCCCCTTAACAGACCACAAGTCAATTTTAAGCATTTATGTGCAAGAAATATTCTTAATTAACTTTAAGGCTTTAAATTATTTCCATTTAAACTGTTCTTTGATTCATTTTTTTCAAATACGCAAAAACGAGACTTCAAACATGAAAAGAGGCTGATGGCCCCCCAAAAAACCCTGTATAACATTGATTTTCAAAATCAGCACCCTTGAATTGACCAAAAGCACTTGGTCCCATAAATTTCGCTCCTGGGCGTCCATTTCCCTATTCTCATTGGGCTAGCAGGTGCTAATGCCTCCTTAAATTTTTTCAAAGATATGCTGCAAAACTTTCAAAAATTTATGAAATACCATTTGATGAGAATGAAGTCATATATTTCGTTAAATTTAATATGTTTTGTTTAATCGAAAAGTGTTTAATCGAGAAGTATCTCGTCTCATAGGCTGAAGAAGTTGCTTTTCTTGTAAAACCTTGGAAGAATGTGTCTCACTAACTGACTAATGGGCTTTGGGCTTTAGTCCAACTTTCAAAGTCTACATATCACCTAAGAGCGATACATCACTTGATCCCTTAAAAATTTTACCAGCTTGACTGAAAATCTTCTTTATGCCAATGCCAATTGTTAATAAAAAACGTTGATATTCAACATGGAGCATGTTCTGACATTCTAAAAATCACTATAACTTTATATCCCTGTAATTTTTATATTTTCCTATGGTTCTTTTATAGATATTCCAGGCAGTGGCAGCGCCAGCTACTGCAAAGTGGAAGGGTAATGGATGTGACCAGTGAGACCATGCCCTTAGGAAATATGAACTACCCCTACCTAGTGCTTTTTAACCCCCCACCCCATACCCCCTTGGAATCACTACTGATACCTATTAACCAATTATAAGGCTGATCTGGAAGAAGGAAGGCCTCATTATATAAATAAATTTGAGACTCAAATCTTGATCAACTTGAGAAGACCAATAATAGTTTTTTTGCAGCTTAGATATGGCTCAGATAAGATAAGCTTCAATGAATTTCATTAACAGGCAGTTCATCTTGGATCAGTGGTTCTCAGCATTCACCAAATTATACAGTTCTGGCATTTTGGATGTTGATTTAGTTCCATATGGTAATGCAAGGGTAAGCTACTAAAACTTACTTATAATCTTTGCATATTTGAACTAATTGCTGGTAAATTTAAAGGAAATTTCACAACCACTAGTGTAGAACAAAAGATCAGATTTAAAAAGAAGAGAGTTATATAGCTGACTGACACAATTGACATCTGCCAACAAAAATTTGCAGTCAAAATTTCCTGAAAAATTTGAATATGGCTCGTGAAAAGAATTTAGCAACTGCAGGTTAATAATCTTTACTCAAATTCCATGTTTCTGTTTTGCAACATGTCATTTTCTGCTGGCAATCTTGCTGGCCAGAAACTGGCAGACTTTATTTATCATCTTTGTATTTTCTTTATACCTCTTATAACACCTTATTCATAACAACTTTTGCTTCTTTTCCTAAGGTTCCAAGGTGCCTTAATTATGCTACTAAATAGAGCATCATTTTGCACCAATTTTGCAATGTGTATCCAGTCCTGGTAAAATCTAAAACTGTTGAGACATGCTTTTTATCGCATTCCTAGGTCAACATTTTGAATCACTGTCCTTTGTTCTTTTGTTTCTTTTAATTTCTTGTTTATTTTTTCTAAAGTAATTTTTTAGTATTTTTTTTGATTGCTATCTTTGTGGCATTTCCAGAGGCATTTTAACTCTTCAAGGCCGGTTTCCATTACTCTCTTTTCGTATGTTTCTTCGTTTTTCTCATTTAATTTTCGTATTTTTTTTAACAAATTACCCTGAGCCACTCCATTTTGGTCAAAACGATAATGTGGATGCTTCCATTACTCCATTTTTATACGTTCTTGTATCCTTTGTTCGATCTCTTTTTGCAGAGATTGAATGACTCAATTTTTAATTCCTTTGCCTTCGCTGTTCCCTATAAAATGACACCTTTTCAAACGACTCTATTTTTGAATGACCCCACTTTGAACAGTGTTTTCTTATGACTCTGGTTTGTTATCAAATGACTCCATTTTTGAGCTTATTAATGGAACTCAAAATGTAAAACAGATTCATTTGAATCTGTTCTCATACGAAAACGGAGTAATGGCAACAGGGCCTAAAGACTTGCTTTTTGTTAAATTATAATTTTGTTTTTAAGCAACCTCTCAAAAATTTCTTGGTTTTGTGAAAACCTTGAATGCTTTTTCAAACAGTGACACCCCTCTTCAAATACATACATGGAATTTAAAATGCTATCAGGTCTTAAGAGAAATCGTAAGGTCTCCATTTTATGGATCGCACACCATTGCACACCATCGCATGCCTAAACTTTTCAAGGCATACAATTACCAGCACGCTGCCAAATTTCATTTTACCAGGACTCGGTATCTAAGAGAAGGAAACTGTATTTTTGTAATTTTGTTCGCAATATATAAGCTGTTCTTTAATAATAATTTTTTGCCAGTTTCTGTTTAGATATAACACCCTCTTTGTTAATCACTCTTAAAAATTTCACCCCTTAATATCTTTGGTTGTTATTAAAACTTGTTGATATTTTTATAGGAATACCAGTATGGTGGACAATGGATATTTTACTGCCAGCATGGTGCAAATGAATGCCTTGGAAATTTGATTGAGGTAAGTAAATTGCCAAAGAAAAATGGCACAAACATCTAAAATGCAAATTTATGTACCATGGGTAACTAACATGTGTAGTTTTTTATACAACAGTTAAAAATGTTAAGTTTAAAGCCAGGAGGATATCAGTATTCACACATGTTTTCAAAAATTTTTGCTGAAGTGAAAATAGTAGCCTGAAATCTAGTACTTGAAACAGATTTGCCCTGCTTGTAAGGTCTGATTTCACAATTCTTTGACTAGCCGGGTACAGTAAATTAGTTCTCTGGTGCATCGTGTTGTGCTAAGGGTAAAGTTTTTGTGATCTACTGTCTCAACAATTGATATGCTGTTTTTAAGATAAAAACATTCAAAATTTTTATAAAAACTGTCAATGCCTTTTCTAGACTTGTGCCATCCATGCTGCTGGTAATGCTTCTGTTTATGCCCCATTTATTCACTGCATGGAATATTATGGACCAACAACAAGCAATTTGCAATATGTGAGTTCCAGTATACCAATCTTATAATATTTTTATGATTTTAGAATATGACTGTTAAAATGAATTTCAAGATATCCTGCTAGATTATTATACTGGATTATGCTGTTTTTATATTGATATTTATTTTGTCAGGTCAGTGCTTGATTCTCTCATGGGCTTGATAGGTAGGTTTTTGATAAAATGTAACTGACTGCAGCTGGAAATAACTACAATCACTGCAAAAACTCTTGTGATATTTTCAACGTTTGCATGCATCCGTTCCCCTCCCCGTCTTCAAACAATGTTGTCTCACAGCATAGTTAAGACACGCTTTTGTGGCAAACCTTTTTCTACCGATTGCTGTGATATACTGCATTGTAAGCAATGAAACACTTTTTCAGGAATGTATCTGATGTTTGTGCTTGCTTTGACTTCTAGTGTGCCACCACAAGCCATATGGATTATGCTACTATCAACAGCTGTGTACAGGGTAGCCTTGGAAATCAATTGCAGCATCAGGTATGCACCCATATTAATGTCGTAAACGACTGGCTGTAAATTAAATTTATTGATGTATGGATTACACTATCGTCATGTACTCAGTTTCTGGTTGGTTCTTATGATTTTTAATGATTTATTTTCCAAGCATTCTAAAAAGACAGAAGCAAGTGTTGAGTTTCATAAAAGACATTACAAGGAAGAAAGATTTTGGACCTTTTTTGGGGGGACCTATAGGAAAAATTATTTCACCCCCCTCAACCTTTGTAATTTTATAGGTCATTAATTTTGTAGAGCATTAGTTTTATACTTTACATTTACTTATCAGCTTTTTCTAAAGATGCCATTGTGTCTTTAAGAGATTGACGTCACTTCCCACCCTTGCATCTGCCAAAGCTGAAAAGTTTCTAGGCTTTAGATGGGCCTTACGCAAGCTTTTTGGGTATCTATGTTTTGCTTAAATAATGAGTATCCAGATGAATTCGGCCATGTTATTAGCTAAGTGTGACTCGGTCATGTTTTGCCAATAACGATTATATTTGGTTTTAATAAGTATATTTGTATTCGAAGCTAATTTTCAATCTTCGTCAGACAAATTGTAGTTGCGGGTATTTCCAATATAAATATTGAGTGATGTGATGCTTGTGGCTACCGCCGCGACCCCTCCTCCCAACCTTTTAGAAAGTACACTTTGCATATCGTCTTTGCGCGTTATTTTCTTGGTTAAAGACCCGTAAGATTTATTTCCCAATGAAATCTTATCAATCCTATTATCCTGTGACTAGCTTATTTTTTCTGTTTAGATGGCATTGAAAACGGACGCTTTAAACCCACCGCATCAGTATGTGCCGTGGATAACGGTCAACGGGGTATGTTTTTAAAGCTGTTTTGTTATTGTTAGTTTTAATCAAGTTTTGTTATAGGAATGTTCGCACTATGCGTTACAGATTTTGATTGAGGTCTGCACCGGAGGGATGTTTCAAGGGGATGCAAATGTGTACCCAACACCCATCCTTAAGATTCATAAGAGCGATTGGCTTTTGGATATGAACTAATGCCACAATAGTTCTGTAAGTACTCATTTCGGTTCCTATATGATGGCAACGTCCGATAACGCAAGCCCTTTTTTTGGTATCATCAAATTTCGATTTATCATTCGTTGGTCTAAACAGTAATGACAACGGATAGAACAACTTTAGCTGTGTCGTTATTTACCTAAAGAAAGTACACAAGAAAAATCTTCCATGATTTCAGAAACATTTAAGGAGCAAATAATGAATTGATTTTTTTTGCACTAAAAGCTGACACTCCTGTACTGTTGGTTAAAACACAATTTTGTAGATACGGAGGAATGTGTTTTTAACACGAACAGAACAGGCGTCTATACTCAATTGTCTGTTGCTATGAATCTCAAGATCATATGAAAGGAGAAGCCGCAAATATTTTTACTTGGTCCGAAATCAAAGGAATATTACAATATAGGCTTAGGAAAAAAGAGTCTTTGTTGGGAATGGTTTTTTTTTAATGTAAAACAGCAAAGCCGAGCTAAAGTAAGCTTTTTGAAAACTGTTTTAAAAACCAAGTTCTGTTTGACGCCGCAGTTAAAATTGCGATAAGCAAAATTTCATAAACATGTCCATACAAGATATACACAGAAGCCGCAAGAATGTTTGATAAAGTTATCGCTAATTGATAAATTTAAACCAGTAAAACCCCGCAAATCAGAAGATTGTTCTTTGAAAACACGATTAAAATCAGCCCCTTGTTATTCTGTTCAAAAAAATTCGAATGGAGGAAGTAAAATGGCTCATCGCGGTGGTGTGAGCGTGGAATGGAATAAAAGATAACAATTAGATACAGATAGGCGTTCCACCAGGGCCAGTGAAGTACAAAGATGTCAGACTCTGTCGCCAAGTGGCTCAAATGTAAATATTAATGCAAATATCATATTGAACATTTGCTAAACCAATTTAGACCGGTTTGATAGCCAGACAACTGAAAATACTTCAAAATGAAATTCGATAGCAATGAATTAAGTAAGTGAACTCTGATGAAATGGGTTTTGTAAATCAATTCCTGTTACGCAATATGTATATGTAATCAATCGTGCCATTTCAGGGTAAGCCTAATCAAAATGTCCCTAAAGAGCGAATAAAGCTGGCATGACCGGGTAGAGAAGTTAAGAAGTCCACCCGTTTCAGATTCAGTTTTCGACATTCTGGTGCAGGTTGAAGTTTAAGCTTCAAACAAACATGTTTTCTTCTAGAGATGATTTCAAACAGAATTTATAGAGTTTTCCGTATATTCTGTGAATTTTAAGGGGTCTCACAACCAGAGTCTTTTTACACCGCCTTTTTTCTGCCATCCCAGTTTTCTCAGTAGATACTAATTTTTACATTACTAAAGAACTGGCTCTTCATTTTCGTGAGCTTTCGTTTTCCAGGTGCATACAGATCAAATACAGAACGCAGTACAAACAAACATGTTGGGATATGTTTGCTCCATGTACCAAGGCACAAAGCCAGCAGTTTGCTCCAGCAAAACCGTTAAACGTGCCAAGGTTTGCTACAAAGACTGAATTTTGCAAAATCGTTGTTATTTAATTTTTTTGATATAAAAATGAAACCTGATGTGAATAATTTTCGAAGAAATGTTCCCGCTTCCCTTGTATTAAATTGTGTAGGTATAAAACACATGAAGTACTATTCTCAAATAATTTTGAGACGTCATCTCCATCTTCCTCTCATCTCCAACAAAAAGAAAACGTATGTTGTCTGTCAGTTTCAACCTCGGGGGTACCTTAACATGTTTGTAGGTACGAGCACGTGCCATTATTTAGGTGTAACTTTTTTCTGAAAAGCGCGGGATTATCAGTATCAGTTTTGGAAATATGTGCGGAACTATGGGTACTATTAAAAGAAGCATGCAGTGCCATTTTGGGAAAATATTGCAAAATTATTTGGATGGGGATTTAGCATTAACAAAATTAATGTCTAGTTTAAAATGAAAGTATGAAATATGTAAAGTACTGCATCGGACGAAAGAAAGTATGAAATATGTAAAGATATTTGGGCAAAGGACGTGGACAATTTGTTTGATAATTTTGATGTGTTTTAAGAATGTTATTTGCTTTGCGGAAATATGGGTCACATTTTTCATACATGTGAGGAAATAAGGGTCCAAATTTTTTAACCAAAATTGTACGTCCCCGTCCAAAATTAGGCTTAGTTAACCCCCCGAGGTTTCAACAGCTGACATTCAGCTAGTGATCTTTTAAGGAAATGTAACTGTCAGCCAAGAACATTGCAAATGTTTAAAAATCCTGGGAGACTGTTTATGTATAAACAAGTTGGAATGCTATTGCAGTTATGAACTGAATTAGAACTTTATATGAGATTGCAAATTTAATCCAATGTACTGTGGCAGACCACTGATGAAACCCTTATCTAATTAAACCCTGATACTACAAAGTCAAAAAATAACTTCATACCTGTGGCTTCATCACAATCTGCACAATTATTAAAACTGTTGCTGAGATTCTGCCATTAATGCCTAGCAACATAGAACATGGCTGGATAACAAGGCTCATTTTTATAAAGCTAACCACGATCAAGCAAATAAAGCAAATATCATACCCCTCTTTGTCTGAGAAGTGTGCGTCGCATAAGAAGTACTTCGGATTCTCTAAAGAAATTGTTGGTATAGGGGTACCCTGGACGCCTTTTGCCACCAAATTCTGGACACCGGAGCCTAAAAAATTTAGGGGTAATCTCAATTCTCCTCCCCATTTCTCGGGGTATGGTTCCCGGAGTGGGGTAGGGGGTAATGTCTTGGCAAATAATTTGTTGTTGTGATCTTATCATTTTGAAACTGCCTTTACGTGATCAAAAATTAGCAATGTGCATTCTCCATCGGTAAAATTGGCATTCTCTATTCGCGAAAGGATGTTTTCTGACAGTAAAAAGTCCCTAACCCCCACAATCTCGTTGGTGGCACCGCCAATGCGATAATCAATATTGTTATCGTAGATACGGGAACGTAGTAGAAACTGTTACAGACGGACGAACAAGAAACTAGTTTAGAGCGATGAACAAACAGATACAGGTAAATTTGTCTCAGAAGTTTTCAATGCATGGGCGGCTACTTTTCGATCTAATCATGTATTGACCAAGAAATAAAGTTATATCTTAACCACATTGAATTCGAAAGGATGGAGAGGTTTCGCCTTTTCAAATGACTGTTTTTCAAATCTAGACATGCTTTATTGAATCCCAAGAAATTGTGACAACTTTTATTAAAAGAAGGAAGTATATTTTTATTCTCTGTGTCCAAATTGTTAGGCCAACCGGCCAATCATGTTGATAGATTTTTACCAAGTTTCTGAATCCTGGCCTTTTCCAAAATCATTTGTTTCTTAATTTTTTTGCTTTAAGTTCTGAAGTCTCTTACCTTTTTCTGATTGCCAAGTACTCGCTCTTATAAAAATATAAGCGTATATTAGCAAAATAAGATTTTCGAAAAGTCAATTCAATTCAATCATAATTCAAGCTTCCTTACAATATGCAAAACTATCAATTTAATTATATGAAGAAAAAGCGTGGGAGTATGCGAATAGAATTATAACAAAGATAAACAGGTAAGAAACTAAACGAAATTAGTGCGAAGGGAAAAAGTTAGAAATCACGTTAAGCACATCTGCTTGTTAAGATTTAATTTTTCAAATGAAACAGCATTAAAGACTAAAATGCCAAAATATGAATACTAATTGCAGCAAGGTATTATGTACATAATACATAATGGGTATTATGTACAAAACTGGTGGATAATTATTCAAGCATTGATTTCGGTAAGCTACAGTTTGTATTTTTTATAAAGATGTGTTTAAATTTGGATTTGTACAAAGGGATATACAGTTCTAGATTTGAACACAGTTACGCTCTTTTTTTATAAGAACAATTTTATAAGAACACGAGCCTCAAAATTGTTCAAAAGTTAAGAACAAATTAAGAACAAGCTTAGGCTGAGCTTCTGCAAAATGCAATTTTGAATAACGTTTTTTCTCAAAATCGTGGATTTTTAGCGATGTATGGGTACTTTTTAGGTGAATATTTAAATTCGTCAGCAAATTAAGGGCGTCTCACTCACTTTGTTGGCAAATGAGGCCTGAACACCTTCTTAGAGCGAAAAAACTAGCAATCGCACTGCTTACACCCTATTAGATTAAGAACAAATTAAGAATAGTCAGCTTGAACTTGAATTTACTGGTTCTTAGAGTATATTTAGAAAGCTTTGGTGTTTGACAAGGGCGTGGTGGTCCACCGGGATTTAGGAAATTTCCCGGTAGGCCCCTTACAATTTTTCGTGTGGGCTCCTTGGATTTTCCTTCCTTTTGGCTTTTGCTTTTATCATTTGTAACATCAGATTTGTGAGAAAAGAAGCGTAGTAAGGCACCACGCTGCCTCCGCGACACTCATTTCCAACATATTATAAGTGATGACAACAAGAAACAATCATCATAAAAATGGCGTGCCCCTGAAAACTTGATTTTCCGGGCTCATAAAAATTCCCACCACGCCCCTGGCGTTTGATATTTGTTCGGATTGCAGCCCGAGCAAATGAACCAGAAGCTGCCTGTCTGGTTTGAATGTTATGTCTGATTTTAATGATTGGGAAAGATCGGCAAATGTTTTGTCTTGTTGTAAATATCGTACATGAATTTAGCACGCTCAATTTGATAGCCATCACCAAGGCGTGCAAGTTTTATGTCATTAAAGAGAGTTTGGGGGTACCCCCAGGCTTTGCCAAGGCATTCAATGTAGTTGCGTGACACTTTGTGGAACTTATTTTGGGACTGGACAGTAAACACTTAGAAAAGTTTGCCTTTTGCAACAATAAGATAAACACTCAGCCATCATCGTCCTCTGTTGCTATTAACAACCTCAGTATGTGGCCCCCGGTTCGAGTGTACCATGCAGATTGAACAATTTACCCCCTGGTAAGGCATGGATCCCCATTCACTCATCACTGTCAAATATTTACTTCTGCAGCAGTTGTGTCATTAAGAGCTTTGCGTAGTTCCTTGCTCGAGCTTCTGTCGTCAGAACAAATTGGTATCGAAAGCGTCATTAAACCATGGCTGAATCTGGAAAAGAAAATACTGGATTTTATGATGAACGTGAGTTACTTTATATTTCCCGAGTACCCTAACTTTGCTAAAAGCAGCGTGTTCAGAGAGAGAGAGAGAGAGAGAGAGAGATAGAGACAAAGAAAACGATTTCTATTTATCATATTGCCATTGCCATCGTGGCTTTTCTAGGCATACCCTGAATGCAAGAGGCCGTTGTATGAACGTTGAACGAGTTCGGCCTTTCAAAAAGGGTGTTTTGAAACTTTCTCGTGGGTCTGTAGGAATTGGGAACTCGGTAGGAGTTCCGTCTACAAGATTAGATAATTTATCCTGTGTTCATGTTTCTGTAACTTCAGCAACGCAGGGCATGATTTCTAATTTTACGCGCGGTTTTATGCATGGCTAGATGGCCAAATTCCAATCACGTTCTGTTATTCATATCCCTTTTTCTGATCTGCTTTTGTATTCGTTTTGACAATCTTGATCGCAGTTTACTATTCATTGAAATACCCTAACAAATGGGTGACTTTGTTTACATATTTTGGCATGTTTTCCTTACACCGCTCGCGAAATCAAACAATTCGTGTGATACATTGTTTGAATAACATTAATCATCCAACAGAAAGAGATTCTATTCATCCGTTACCCACATCTACCCAACTTCCGTCAAGTTATTCGTCAGGCCAAGGTTGAGAGTCTCTTATACCACGCTCATTCATTTCAAGCGAAGTGGTAATCTTTGCTGTGAGGAAATGGCTCAAGATACTCATTATGGATCCTGTTGAATCTTTATTGAATATCTGGCAAGGCATATCCATTACCATTCAAACTACGTCATACGCCCCCTTGGTACAATAACGCTATTTACAGGAACAAAGTTTTCCGCTAATTTGCTGTTCTACAAAGGGCACTGCCAGCGCTGCTAGATGACAAAGCTGTTTCATTTATAAATATGTGAATTTGCGAAATCCATATATTCTTGAGGTTCTAGAGGGGGCCTTATAGTGAAGGGGTCTTTTTAGAGAAGGGGGATACAAACTTTGCTTTATTTAACAACATCAATGCACAAAAAATTGGTTAGATTTAAGAATTAATTATGAATTTCTACTCGAATTTCGGCCACAGTTTGACTTGTTATTTATCTGAGTTTTTTAACAAGCATAACAAGCGCGAAATTCGCTCCAAAAATTTTGAGGTACGCTTGTTGAGCCGCGTTGAGCTGCTATTGCGTCAGTATGTTTCATTTTCTAAAGTATTTTTATGATAAAGAAATACGGTAGCAAAGACGTTAACTTTCTTTCTCAGGGATTCTTATCAACTTTAAACTTTGGGTTTCTTTAAATGACCTCTGAATAACTCTGACCCGTTGAGAATCATAGATTTTTAAATGTGCATTCCAAACTCATCAAAAGGCTCGTGATTTCCTTGCTTTCCTGCAATTTTGTATGCTGCACCAAGAAGGATGTTATTGGCAAATGAAAAGGTTCAAATAAGATTTTAAGCTTATGTACCTATGCTTAATCTATATTTGTTTTTACAGTCTTTTTGCAAAGGATGTCTTTTTCACTTTTTACAGTCTTTTTACAGTC